ATATATATATATATATATATATATATATATATATATATATATATCTGACAACCCTTCTTTTGAAAACAGTGAACTGACATAAAAGTTAATTACAGAAAATAGTTTAAAACCCCTCTTGTCCTTCAGAATGCCATTGGGCTGAGGATCTTGATGGTACAGGTTAGTTTTCTTACAGCTTCAATGCTAAACTTTATACTGTGTACTTTTACTAAGAACATGTACACAGTATACAGTGTACTCCTCTTTACATGAAAACCTTTGAGAAATTATATGTATGCAGGAAAAAGCTTGGGGGGGGGGGGGGGGGGTGTTTGAGTAACTTCTAGGTGTAGAAAAAACAAAACCAAACATTTTTTTCTGCTTTAACCACCGAGCCTTAAATATGCTGAGTTCCTCTCTGGCAAAGTCTGATGAGGAGGAAGAGGATGAGGAAGTTCTGCTTGAGCAGCTCCTGAAAGAGTCTTCCACTCAGATGCTTGGACATTCCAAGCAGTCCACAAGATGGCTGACTGAGAGCATTTGTATTTAGTAAACTTTGAATATAGTGCAATATACCTATTAAATTACATTTATTCAAGATTTTTTTGCCTTCTTTATTGTAAAGCTTGTGGACAGAAATGTTGGTGGGCAACCAGATTCTGTTAAGAAGCTGTCCACCGGACAGTCTAGAAGATTCCCCTATGTCAACCCCTGGTAAGTAGTTAGTAGTGGTGTAACGGTACACGTGGGTGTATTGAACCGTTTTAGTGCAGCATGTTCGGTTCGGTCCACGTGCGTACTGTTTCGGTTATTTTTTCACTCATTAAATTTTATTAACGAGAGATTATGCGCAGCAGAACTAAAGTTCCTAAGCGTGTTTCAGCACGGCACTATTATCTTGCAGCACTCGTAGCATTAGCAGCCTAGCAGGCAACGAACAAGCCATCTCGTTGCGGTCTCCTGTTTGGGAACTTTATGGCTTTCTTGTTAAAAGACAAGTGAACAAATTCAAAGGTGTGCGTCGACGTTGTTTCACAGAGATTGTATCTGCCACAGGCAACACGTCTAACTTGTTAACGCTCTTGAAACAACATCTTCTGAATGTGAACGTAGCTTGGTGCAAAGACCGATAGCAGCATTTAAACAACCTTTATCAGGTAATTCAGATCGGTCCAAAGCAACAACACAAGCTGTAGGAGTTTTTAAAGCTATGGATCCACGTCTGAATGTTGTTGATGCGCTGGCTTTAAGCATAAAGTTCTTGAGCCCCGCTGCCTACGACATCCATCACGTCAACACTTCAGCCAAAAAGTTGTAGCAGCACTTTATGAAAAAGCTAAAACTGATATCGTCAACAAGCCAAACCCCAGATTTAAAGCCCTGCCACATTTATGATGAGCGAGAGAGAACATTCAACTACCTCATAGTAGAGCTGGACAATAATTCGATATCGATATATCTCGCGATATACTTTTATTCAATAACGATGGTATGAATTTTAAGCACATTTTCGATATTTCGATAGGATTACAGCATTTCACTGACACATTTCTTTTTCTGTTCGGGTTGAAGCGGCCACTTCAGTTTCAACGCGGACGGAAAAAGGTGCGACACAACTACCTAAGTGCGTGGTGACGTAATGTTACGCAGAGCTCGAGTCCAGAAGGCGTTAGTGGTAGCAGGCTAAGCTAGGCTAATCTTCAACGCGCGTTAAGTTTTCACTTCAAAATGAGTGCCCATGATCGTCAGAATGTGACTGAACAAGCTTTCACAAGCGAAGAGAAAGCAGATGACATCACTGATAAGAGAGGAAAGACTAATTCGCTGGTTTGGAAGTGGTTCGGCTTTCTACGATCTGATAAACTGCAGGTTTCAGTCAGTTGCTGCAAAATGTGACGGAGAGTCGTTCTAACTAGCGGTTGGAGCATCTAACTTGTTCCACTTGACAGAAGATGATGAGTCACAAGATGAAGCACAATAAAAGTTTGAGCCAACGTGTCCCTGAAACAACCCCAGCGCTGCATGTTTTATTTTTGTTTGTTTTTATCATTTATTCATTCATTTAAAATAAAACAAATTCATCAGAAAGAAAAAAAAAACATTGAATGAAAAGGTTGCAGAAAGATGAAAAAAATTCTTATCTGCCCCTAATTTAAAAAATACAAAATAACTACAAACAACAACCTTGACTTGAACAATCTCCAAACTGAAAACAAAAAAACTTCATTACAATAGATTAAATATGGAACAATCATTACATTTTACAATATATACAAAGCTTTGTCATTCAAAAACTCTTTCTTTATACAGTAATGCAACTGATTGTTATTTTTATTTTTAAGTATTTTACACGAGATTTCCACGTCAGCTTCTCATCAATAACGACAACCAAACATTTTATTTCATTAACAACTAATTTCAATGCTGTCAATTTTAATGTTGTTTAAATTTAAAACTATTAATATTGACAAAGTTGAGAATTTTATGTTTATTTGACAGTGATTTAAATTTTTTGAAGGCTAAATACAAATAAAAGGTGAACATTAATTTATTTGTATAGTTTGGTAGTTTTTCTGAGGCTTTTATATTGTTTATATCGATATCGAATTATATCGTTATCGACTGAAATTAAGAAATATATCGTGATAAAAGTTTTGGCCATATCGTCCAGCCCTACCTCATATGATGACCATGCAAGGAGAGGTGTTGTATTATTGTTATAAAATTAACTTTTTTAATTTAAAATTATAATCTGAACTCATTTTTTAAAAATCTCTG